TATGAGATAATGTATAAGATTCCATTGATATTTTCTATTTTCCCACATTCAGTTTTGAAAGTAATTACCTCAAGCAATTAACAGAAGTTGATCAATTAAGCCAATGTGAATATATTTGATTTGAAGATCTATTGAGTTTTAATTGGCTAACTCAGATAAAATGAATAGAAAATGATCAGTGTAAAAAATTTAATCACTTTTTTTGCTGTTTTAAAGTCAAAGATGTAAGTGTATTCTTTCTAATACTCGGGTCTGATTTCATCCAAAATTTTTGTGTCTTTCATTTACCCACAAAATAAAATCATTTGTTCTCAGTCCCTTTTCAGTTCAGATAATTTTCTCTCATGTGTTCTGTGAACTCTGGAAAACTAATCAACTTTTGTCACTATATACATGATTTAAGAAGATGTGTCAGTTAGAGTGGTCCCAGCCACATACTCCTCTCAAAGCTTTACATAAACCAACCCTGCTAATTTTGAAGTTTCCATTACGATGCTATGAATTCTATGAAAATTTTTCTATTTTTTATTTTAAGTCAAGTTCCCCAGGAAACAGCTCTGAAATAGGAACTTGTTTATATGTGGGAAGTTTACTTGAAGAGTTCCTGATAATGTACCTGGGAGAGAATAAGGGAAGGTGGATTGGGCAGAGAGAGAGGTGGAACTATTATGCAAACACAGCAGCCTCTCAGGTGACCCTCCAGGCCAGTCTGTGGTTATCCCTGTGTGAGGGAAAGGACTCATGCCTTTCTAGTCTGCAACGACCATTCCTTAGGTACATGCAGGTCCCAGGAAAAGGGTGAAGCAGCTCCTTCCTGTTTATGACAGTTGCTAAGCAGAATCTTGGCTAGGTGTCCTTGGGGAGAATCAGTGCCTCCTGGTGAAGCAGGTATGTGAGTGTACAACACACTCCACTCTTCTCTAAGATTTCTCAGAATCCTATTTTTACCATACTGGGGACTTTCTATTGTCCTTGGCCTTACAGAAGAGCTTTTTGTACTTAATCAATATCCACTACTGGATTCTACATTTCTTTTCTTGATTTTGCACTATTCATTCCACAATGAATGCAAATTGATGAACATCTATTAAGACACTGGTGAATAAATGACTGAATAAAGTGTAGTCTTGGAAAATGTTTCACTATTAAGAGGAGTAACATGAAGAAACAATGAAAATAATTGCTATTTAAACATGAACAATTCGGCTGGGGATGTGGCTCAAGTGGCATGCTTGCGGCCCGGGTTCGATCCTCAGCACCACATACCAACAAAGATGTTGTGTCCACCGAGAACTAAAAAATAAATATTAAAAAAAAATTCTCTCTCTCTCTCTCTCTCTCTCTCTCTCTCTCTCTCTCTCTCCTCTCTCACTCTCTCTTAAAAAATATTAAAAAAAATGAACAATTCAATAAATAAAGATTGGTTACCCACATTGCACAGGTATGATCCAAATCCACATTCTGTAAGAAAGAAGGTTGTTCTCCAACTGGTTAAATTAATTTCTAAATGTTCTAGTGAAGTGGTTTCAAATTGTGGTTCTTAGAACTGACTGTGGTGGGAGTCCATCTGTGGAGATCCTCTCTCACTTTTTTAGAGCACCTAAACTTCTATTGATTTTACTTATAAAAGTTTGAAAGCCTGCTCTAGGTTATGTAACATCAATAAACTAAATTACAAAAAAATAAAAATCCTTCCTTAAATACATATTACAAGTAAGTGCAGCTTCTGATAATAAAATAAAGATTGCAAAAATAAGCCATATTAAAATTTATATATGGCTTATGTAATTTCAAGGTAGTCACATTTTTTAGTCAAGTGATTATGACAGAATTGTAAAAATACCACCACCATAACCAATAAAAAGGGTAAATGGTACATAATTCAAAGAACACAGAATTAGAATTAAAAAACCACACTAATTGTAACTAATTAGCTATATAACTATTAAGTCATTTCGTTTTTCTGTGACTCAGTTTTCTATAACTTAAAATGAGGAAAAAAGGCAAGATTAACTTTATTGTATTTTCAACTCTAAAATTCTATGAGACACTAATAAAAATAAGAATTTAAGCATAAAAATATAAATCAAAAACAGAAGAATACTTTGCTAAAACAATTTTTAGACATTAAATTTCAAACAATACCCTTGATATACCTCATAATACTTATGACATTTTTAATAAGCCAATATGGTGTTTATCATTAAAATTATACAAGACTGGAAGAGGAATATAAGGAAGTTTGTCCAGGAAAGTTTTTAAAGTATTAAAAAGACAAAGTATTAAAATTGAAGTGATAACATTAATTTTATTTGAAGATGATATCAATGTCTATTTGAAAAATACAAGAGAATACACTATGATCTGAGAACTAGTAATTAAGCTTGAAAAGTTCATATCAGTCCAAAACATATTAAACATCAATAACTGCTCCGAATATACTTGCAATAACTAATATAATAGAAACAGCTCCCATTCATGTGCGCGCGCGCGCGCACACACACACGACCCTATACAATTTTAGGAAAAAAAATACATTGGAAATATGCACAAAGAACACTATAACTCTCTAAGGAGGGTTATAAAAAGATGATAATATTGATTGCATGTGTTTGGGTGAGAAGACTCAATATTTTAAAAAAATTAAAATCCTTTCAAAAACCAAACTATAAAATCTGTATAAATAACAATTGCATTGTGGTGCTTATAATACCTGGGAAAAAACTAAATGTTGAGAATTAGGCTCTAATTTTAGAAAAAAGAGAAAAACTAGGAAGATCTTATTCTACCCATTCAGACAGAAAAATTATAAAGCTGAACACAAGAATATCTGCAAAATAGCCACTTCCCCTATTGCTGGACATTTATACTAATGTCCACTATATCATTTTTAACTCTGTTTTCTCATCCCCGAAATGAGAATATAATTAATTCAGGGACAGAAACTGGTTCTTTTATTTGTTTGTACTCTGCAGCAGCACACAGCTGTGTTAAGTGTGCATAGCATGCCCTTAATATAGGCATGCTGTGTTTACTTGAATGTAATTAAGAATTTTATCACTAGATTGCTGCCACTATAATAAGAAGCCTGACCTCATTTGTGACGTGTGGCTGCAAACTTCTTTATATACCTTGCCCTCCCTTTCTGTTTTGGTCCCACATCTGGGCAGGATGAAAAGAAAGCCCATCCTGTACCTTCTTATTTGATGTCTATGGGAAACAAAAGCCTACAGGTGTCCAGCCCACATGGTTAGGAACTATCCCTCAACCCTGGCCACTAGCCACTGAACAGGCCCAGCCTGCTCCCTCTGCTTCGCCCAAGCCAGGCTGGAAGCTGAGGCCCACTCAACTCTCTCCAGATTCTCGTGTACATCAAATTTTCTTGGTGTGTGGGGTATCATCAGTTCCATTATCTTAATAGGATGATCCAAAACTCCTATGTGAGGCTAAAATAATAATAATGATAATGAGACTGGGAAAAAAATAACTCAATTTCTTTAAGTCAATGAAAAATGTGAGACAAAAATAAATAAATAAACAAACTGAAATATTTACCCTAATGATCTATATGCTGAATTGCTGTATAAGAAACCCCTGTATATTATGGTGTCTCTCTTTTCTTCCTACAGACTTCTCACTAAATAGGCATCTCCTAAGCGACTTCCTGAACAATTATTCTATCTTTGCATGAAAGCTCCCAAAGAATGAATGTATTCAGGTTCCTGCATCCTAGCTAAACTGTGAATTAATAAACTGGCAGGATTAGAATCGTGTTCAACAACCTCCCTTGGTTCATACCTGCCAGCTCTCTACATACAAAGAGTTAGGAGATTTTGGCAATACCTTGATTTCTATTTGACTTACTCATTTCTCAGTTGAAAAATGTTTCTTTTCCAACATGTTTAATACATTTAATCCTCAAGTACATTTGCTGATAAGAATCTCACCAAAGTGATTCTTTTACAAAAAGGAAACACCACCAAGAGAAGCATCCCAGCTGTTCTCCATTTGAAAGATTTCTTTCCTTCACTTCCTGTTTTTGTATATCTGTCTCAGTCCCAGTGTTAAATTTTTAGATTTTTTTTTCCTGACTTTTCTAAATATATTCACATTTCAGTTAGTTTTTTGTTTGTTTGCCTGTTTAAGGAAAACAAAAAAGGCAAATGTATGAGGAAAGAAAAAGGAAGGGTGAAATAAAAAAAACAAACTTCCAAATGGCTGTCTGCTTTGCGTACAGGGTACAGGAGAAACTGTTTGTTTTATTAATCATTTCATTTTAAATCCATGAAGCTGTGCAAGATGAACAGAAAATGTCAGCAAGGATGACATGACAAAGAGGCTAATAAACTGCAGAGTGCTTATGGCACTGAGAAGAGCTGAACAACATGAACTGCCTTCTGGGAATGGAACAGGTAGTTCAACCAAAGCCAGCCACAGCCCATGGAGGCAACACGCAGACAGTGATGAAAAGGACCACAATCAGGTGCCAGAAAGAGTGCATGAGCACTTCACCATAGGAACTGTTTATGAATTACATCTTCATTATAAGATAAATTAAGGATCATCGCACACAATGCCTTAGCATGTATCATCAAAATGAAAAACAGCCAAGTGTACTATAAACTTTCAGTTGGTATACAACAACAACAACAACAACAACAAAAATCCCAAACCAAGAGAACTTTATGCACCTTATGACAGACACCAAAATAATTTGAGCATCTTTAAAGACATAACCAGGGCAATTTAAAATAATCTTGATCACCAATTTTTACTTGCATCAACTTTCCTTAAAATCAGTAAGGGGTCACTTATTTAATATATGTTTGTAACCCTCTAAACTTTATCCTTTAAATATTTCATTTTGCTATTTTGTGCTTTGAAATGGCAGTGATACTGACGAGAAAAAAATCTTTCTAAAAGATATCTCATCAAATTCTGGTCTATTGTATGCTATTTACATAGAAATTAAGACGAGTGAAATGCTAATCAGAAGTTACCTTCTTGATGGTCTCTAGCATGGAACGCCCACCCTGCCAGGGCTTTGAATTCTTCCTGATACATGACAAACTGGCCATGCTGTGCCACTTTCGGTCCTCCAGCTTCTTATGAAAAGCATTAGCAAGCAGAAGCACTGTGTCATATATGTAAAGGTTTGAAATCTGAAAAGACATTAGACAGTGATCATTAGAATCATTGATACCATCCATCCCATCCAGAATAAGGAGAAATTTGTCCGCTTAGCTGCTTCTGCTCTGGATAGTTTACTGGGTTGTTTATTATGGAGAAGGTTTCTTTTTTCATTTCTTGGGCAATTTTGCTATTGAGAATGAAGTCTTGTCTGATTGTATGCCTCAATTGGTTTTTAGCTTATTTAGGTATGAAAGAGAAGATAAAAAAGAGATGTTTTGACAGAGGCAACGCTGTTAGCGTCAGACCATAGAAAATCACTGGCCCTTATTTCTTTCTGAGGAGGTAAGGATCTAAGGACTTAAGATTGGAAGGACACACTGAATAATACATTTTTTGAATACGTAAAATTTCTTCATTTTAGTTATTCAGATGAAATATTAACTCAATCTTATATATGAGTGTTATAGGTACAAAAAAAAAGAAGCAGACATCAGTGTGTGTTTATGGCTATGAGGCTTCTATAATGAAGAAATGAAAAAAAACAGACCCATTCACAAATACTACAATGATAAAGGATCAATACAACATAAGGTAGGCATACACATGCATTGAAATTCATTGACATGACAAATAACATAAACTACGAACAGTGTCTGAATGTGTTTATATTAATGCTCTCTTCTTCTAAGGTAACCATGATATTATCTTCTTTCTACACAGATTGAAAAAAAATGAATTATTGCCAATTTTTTAAAGATCTGTTGCACTATTAAAATTTAAGTCTTGCAAGAACTATTATCTATACTACCAACTAATTACCAAAGGTGTTTGTTTTTCAAAGTAATTAGAATTTTTTAAGAAAACATGAATAGAAAAGGGGATCCTAGGTCAATAAAAGCTGTTAAATGTTATATTATGACTGCTCAAAAAGAAAAACCTGATAGAAAAAAAATTGAGAAATGAACATAGTGATGGAAATTAATTTTATCTTAATGCATTCAAATTTTCTCAGGTTTTAAAAGTGTCTTGTTATCACAGTTTTCCCTAAAAATGAAAGGGAAAATATGTGGGTTGTCATTTGGTTGTAATTAACGAAGAAGGAAATTTATGAAACAGTCTGTGCACATCACAGAACAGTAGTAAGATTTGGCTATTGGGATAATTAGAGTTTGATGCTATTCAAAGCTGTTAATAAGAGCTTCCCAACAATGCCTTGTGGATTTTCATTTATATGCCAGGTAAATCTTTAATCATCTGTGTTTGTTAAACACATTTAATATATATATAATACTAATGGATGGCAGGTCTTTGAAAACACATTGAACATTTCTAGGTATTATATAAAATACAAGTTTATTATTGTTTAAGGAAATATTAGGGCTAGCTATTCTTACTCCTGGTCCACCCAGCTAATTATTAAAGAGACCAGAGGAGAATGACTAAAATCTGCAGTGAATGAAGTATAGACTTGAAGTTAAAATTAGTCTGTGAGTCAAAATTCAAATTGGGCTTAGACTGTGAAGACCCAATAGGAAAATGTGGAAGAAATAAGGAAGATGAGCGAACTGTACAAAACAATCCAAGGAAAAATCTTTTTATAAACTTCTTCAAATGATATGCAAATATCTGTCTTTTCCAAACTCCCCTGTTTTCATGGCCTTAACTTGCTTCCTTCTTTTCTATCTTTATTCTGCATCGCCCTTTAACTGCTTTAAGTGTGTACCTGAGATATATGGTAGCATCCTTCAATGTATCTTTAGCTTTCTCCAACTAGTTAACTTCCTTCAATATTTAGCATAAAGGTTACCTGCTGAGAGAATGCTACCCTGACAATTTCCCAATCCTAGGCTTCCCTGAGCAGTCTTCTCTCCCAGAACACACAGTACATAGGTGTATGGAAACACGTCACAATGGTAAGATTTTTCAAAATCTGCCATTCACACAAGAATAGGAGATCCTCCTGGATGGAAACTCTCCATCCTTGTGCTTTAGTTTGCCTATACTTAATCTCCTTTTGACTTAGCCGACCATCTAGAACATGTTTTGTTTTTTTTAAAAAATAAACAATCATCAAATAAACAAAGTAAAAAAAAATGGAAGAAGTGGGAAAATGTCAGGTTTAAAGTTAGGTGGGTTGACATAAATCAAGTCATTGCTGGCAAACTGTGGCTACTAGTACTTGACCTTCTCTGGCATAGTCTGTTTTGCATACTTTAAGGTATGGAGTGTGAATATCTATGCTAATGGCAAAGTGAGTGTTCTGTACCCAACATATGATAGGCATTTTACAGATGACTGCTTCCTCTCGTTTGTTACATTCTCAGTGGCAGGATCAAGAAGTGGCAGTGACCTTCTCTGAGATTTCCAAAACCCCTCCTAATCTTTTACTTCTTTCTCAAAGCAAGTACTCACTCTCCTTGGCAGTTCCCGTGCTCTCTCATGCTCCTTTGTGCTGTCCTCTACTGATCTCTTGGTGATTTTATTTGTGAGGTCTTTGACTCCTTCCTCACCATGATCCCAAAGTGTCTCTCAGCATTTAAAGGAGACTCCAGTTTCTACTCACAGAAGCTTCCCTTTTTCTATGTCCACAACCAACACATGTGACTGGGAGCTGGACATGAATCTACACTACCTCTGACATCTTATCTTCCAGTATTTTCTCATCTAACTCATCATTTTTCTCTGGCTTTCTGTCGCTACACTTGTTCTCTGTCATCGCTGAACCTGTAGCTGCCATCTCTTCTCTGTGAAAATATTTGATGCCATCTGTGCCTTACCCTGAAACACTCAGTTTCCTTCTGTTCACCATCTGATATAGTTCCCAGGCTGCTCATCATCCAGGTACTCTTCCTCTGTCCTTCTCTTATTTCTTCAATGTTTCTATTAAAGTTTAGTAAGCAGAACTGACACATTAATGCAGATATGATCTGACTAGGAGACAGTAGTGTAAGACACTGTATGTCTTGATCTTAGCAAAGTGCTTCTGACAGAGTCCAAGATGATATTAAAATGGTTTAGAGCAAATCTGACTTTGCACTGCGCTCATTCTGAATTTGTCTTCAACATAACGGCTTTGAACAGCTGTCAAACCAGGCCTCTTCCTCTAGACTTCATGTAATTGATTATGAACCTATACTTTATGAAGTTTCAACTTTTAGGCTTATTACTCAGTCAAGATTAATATTTATTTGGATCTTGTTTATGTAATACAACACCGGCTTTCTCTCCTATATTTATGGCATTTACAAATTTCAAAAACATGTTTTATTCATTTTCATTCATGGAGTGATAAACATTGTGACAATATTAGGTCCAAGGACAGAATCTTGTAGATGACCATAGACTTCCTTGCATTTCAAGAGTGAAATATTTATCAGTGGCGTCTGAATATTCATCAGGGTCCACTTTTCTCAAGCTAAGGGTAAAAGAATACCTGGTGTATTTTAGCAAACATTCAAAACTACAGAATATATCTAAGGCATATCCTAGATGTAGCAGTGTCTCTTGAATAGTTTATTGGTACTTCTATGTGAATTAATTTCAAGGTCACTTGAAACTTTGGACAAAAATAACTACATGGCTTAATTGGTAATTATTTGAAATGGTTTAATTTTATTAAAAATACATGTTTTAACTTTTAAAGGTAATGATAATATTTTAAAATATTTTGAACCTTCTTCTCTGAGATCAGAGTTTAGTATCTTCATCCCATATGGACTCATTTGGTGAAAATATTCAAATGTCACCAATTTATAGAGTTTTCAATGTCTTCCCTCAGGATTTCATTAGAAAATTTGTCAAAAATGCCATATAAAACTCAATATATAACACATAGCTTTATTATAGGCTCCCAATCCTAAAAGCCTATTAATGAGGGCTTAGTTTGGCTGTGATTTTTCTTAAGGAAGCCCAATTGTCTTATTTGAAATACTCCAAACCATTTATTTAATGAAACATTCTATAGTTTATGTAAATATTAACATGCAATATACTAAATTTTGATTGTCTGAGTCTTTTCTTTCTACTTTTGAAAATTTGGGCAATAAACCAATCTCTTTTACTTTGGTGTTCTTCCCAAGAATTTCTCTCACACCTCTAAATCATAATATTGGGAACACATCTGCTGGATTATTGATTGCTCAAAGCACTTAGGTGTTAGTCCTCATTTAAGTCAGTTAGAAATACTCCTAAAATCTTTAATTCCTGCTCTTTATAAACTAATGGCTTACTTATCTTTTAATGATTTTTACTCTAACTTATCCAGTTTGAGGATAATTTTCCTTAGATGGAGAAAATAGATTGAAAAAGATTGGAGTGTTCATTTTCTCTTTCTTAGCATCCAAACTAACACGAGTTCCACCAAACAGTAAAGGGATCACTTCCTTCTTGTTTCATATGTTGTAAAAACTTTTTCCAGCTAAGAGGACTTCTTTACTCTTTACTCTGAAACTTCAACTAACTTTGTATTTTAGTGTTTGGCTATTATTTTAAAGATGTATGAAACTTGTTTGCAGATCTAAATTTTATTTTCCTTCTACAGACATTAAAATTAGAAACAGCCCAAAGGCCTCCATATAGATCCAATGTACCCTCCCTTCTTTTCCTTGTATTGATTAATGTGATTTTACAGTTGAGTTTCTACTTTTTGAGCTCACTTTGGCCAATGTTTATAGTTTATTTTTTCTGAAATTTTTAAAATTGCCCACTTCCTAATTCTGGGGAAAAAGACTATCTGTGGCCATATTTATCTGCATTGTTTTTATAGATGCCAAGTTGAGGGGTTGCTTCTCCTACAGAACCACTTCCCCTTCAAATTATTAGCCAGTCATATTGTGTGCATTTCATACAAAACAACATTTTATTTTGTTTCTTGATCTAACTTCATTGAGATAAAAACTTTTCATCAAGGAGAGGCTGTATATCAAATGGTCTGCTTTTAGGGGAACATTTTAAATTCAAGAGCTTTGTATTCACACTTTTAATTATATAAATCTTTACATATGAAAGTTTGTCAGTTTTCCTTTTATATATTAAATATTTAGTCAAATGCTATCACACATAAGAGGGAAGTTAATATGTAACAAATCCTAAAAGAAAAAATAATGCTCTGTTTTGTTCCATCTCTGAGTTTGAGTAATGTACAATGAACACAAGGGTTAAGGGTGGTGATTCCTTGATCATGTTCCTGCATCAGATAAGCATGGGAATATAGAGATAAATAAAATATGCTTGCTGATTAACTGAAATGAAAAGATTATGCTCATGTGTGAATGTGCTTTAAAAATTCTTTCTTCTTTCCCTAAATGACACAGTTTATAAATTTTCTAGCTTAAACTTTCATTTCCTGCTACCTCTTTTGACAAGAACAGTCTTTGATATTTCATAATTTTCTAAATCTAAATTCTTCCTGTTGTTCTCCATTTAGAATTCTATAATTTTCACATCGATTATATTCGTGATCAGTGAATATGAAAATATGGTCTATTATAAGCCTATTACTAAGAATGGCACTAAATTTAAACAAGCCCTTTTAAGTAAAGCTTTAGAGTGCCTTACTTTGACCACTGCCTTCCCCTTAGGTACATTCAAATCCACAAATATTCACAAAGGTGCAATGTACTGGGGTAGGTTTGGTGGAGGAAGTGATACAAAAGGACACTGAGATTTATGATTCCGGATCCAGTAAGAAACAGAATATTCTATGGATAATGATCCTGGAGCCATGATGCTTATTACATTCATAAGTGTGAACAAAGTGTTGGATAGATGGTAATTCATCTAAAAAACTCAACATTGATTAAGAATAGGAGACTGGGGAATCAGCTTTCAAAGAAGTAGTTTTAGCAAATTACTTTATATATCTAATATTATTGAATACAAACTGGTCATATTACAATTATATTTCCAAAGTGTTCAAACTGAACATCTAAACTAAAACTATTTTCATAGTAAACATTCTAAAGGATTAACTTTCTAAGATATATCATGTTTCCCTGATTTCTAAAATTGATCACAACTTTAATCCTTGATGATGCTTTAGAATTATTGTTTAAATATTCACTAACAGGCTAGTGTTGTACTACAACAATGCCCTTAGAAACTGCTTTATGATACAGATTTCCTTTTACAGCAAAACTCCTATACTGATAGGATGTGTAAGTTAGCGTGTGTGATTGATTCTTCCTTTTTCCTGTCTTTTGCCTTGCTAGAGAGTGCTCCTTTTGGCTCCCTGCTGTTGGTGTGTCTGCTTTATCTAATACCCCCTTCAAACTGACAGATTGAGATCTCCAGTACAAGAAGAAAAAAAAAAATCTGATAGGATTTTCCTTAAGAAAAAGAAACAGTCTCCAAGTGAGTATTTAAAAAACATTCTCTTGAGAAAGCTGCAGGGACTTGGGTTCTTTTTGCTATTGAGAGATTTTATTTATTTACTTACAAATTCTTTGTTGTATTCTTGACAGTGAAGGTTTCAGCTATAGCATGGGTTCAATATGACTAATATAATGTTATAGCACTTTTTGGAATTTAAATATTATTTCACTGAAGTTATGCAAACTGGAGACTAATCTTTGAAAACAAAATAATAAACATTCTGTCCTTGTTATACCCAAAATATCAAGCAAATGTATTAGCTTAATAATTTGGAATGAGATAGTAGGAGTATCAGGAACAAATTCTACCGTGGGAAATGTTGTGGATCTACCTGTTTAGAAGGAAAGAATCTTTATTTACTATATTTTTATTAAGCAAGATGTTTTTTTCTATAATAGGAACAAAAAAATCAAAGATATAGATTTTAGCACTCTCTCCCTATCAGAGTTATTAAAATGATAGAAGAAGAGAATCATGCAGAAATGATACAGAATATAATTCTGAATCTAATGCAACTCTAAAAGCACTCTTTACAACAACGCATGCTGGTAGAAATGCCCAGGCATTTAGAGTATACCTCCATATTCTGAGCAAATGGATCCTTTGGATCACACAATGTTGAAGATATTCGATGGTTGCCACGGAAACATCGCTGACTTATATTCTGGGGGACTGGAAATGTCTGCCGAATAATCGTTAGCCTTCCAATTGACCTTCTTACAAGTTCCTGTACATCAACATCGTTTATTTCCTATAGGATAAGATAGGAAGTGGAAGAATTAGAAATTCATCAATACAGCAACAGAGAAACACAAAACCATTAATGAGTTGTTATCTAGGACTGCTGAGGGATTCTGTTACTATAATACATTTGCTTGATGCTTAGCACATATCTAAATGAAAACAGCACATGTTCATTGAAATAATCAACTTATTTATAGGTGTTCTAATTTAAATTATGTACATTAGTGCCTAGGTAATTCTGACTTTAACAATTTACTTAAATGTACTTAGTTATGATCAAGTTTATAATTTATTACATTGAAAATATAGTAGAAAAATATAGTGTGGTAAAACATTGAAAAAGGTGACAAAATAAGTTGATACTATAGTTTGTCATTTATTAATGGACTTCATCATACTTGGACAACCTAGGAAGATTGTTGCAATGTAAGAGAAATATATATGGTTCATAGCAATGAAAAAATAAGGCTTTAAAAAGGTGATATAAATAGATATAGCAAGAGGAGATATTTTTAAGAATTTTATTAATATTTCTTAGAACCATTGATGTTAACTAACATGTTTCTCTTTGTAATAGATAAACAAAGTGCTTATTAACCATTGAGTAATGTTATAGATGTGGTCTTGACATAAAGGTAAAAATTTCTGCTGGTTAATACTGACTGAACCAGGCTGAGTGAAGGAGAAACTCAATATTCTTTATCTACATGAATTTTATTTTGTATAAGAGTGTGTGCCAAACTCAAAGAATAGCAATTTCTACTTTCTTCTCCCCACCACCTCCTTACTCCACAATTAAATTTTAAGATTTGACTACATAGTATATGTAAAAACAATAAAACTGAAGTAATATTTTTATAACATTCATTTTTTTCTAATTGGAATTAATCAGAACAGAAGTAATCAAAATAAATTTTGGTTTTAAAACTGTCTTTTGACTAAAGTAGTTTGTGCTGAATAGTGTCCATTTGGAACCTTTTAAACCAATGAGGCCTTTGCAATTAGCAAATTATTGGTGTGAATAGATTCTTATGGCAATAAAAATAAAATATTCGATGCAGGGCAGGATATACTTTGGACTATAGTGAGCATGTTACAGTTTTGAATCAAGGAATTATTACTGAAAATTGAAAAGACAAATTTTCTTATCCCACTAGACTCACTAATTACATATTACTCTTCTTGTAGACTAATTATATATTACTGTTCTTTGTAGCATGTGTTAGCTTTAAAATTCACCCTTTATTTATGATCTTTATGAAATATAACTTTTCTGAAAATAAAATAACACCTGCCATCAGCTGTAACCAGTATAATATCAGGAATTTTTGGGCGATTAATCCTTAATGTGCCATAAAAACTGGTTTTTCTCAGTTTATAATGCCGTCTTTTTCCCTTAGTCTGTGTCATTTCACTGGCCACCAAAAACTCTGTCTGGCAAAGAGCAGGTCACTTTTTAATTTTCTGTCATCTTCTCACAAAGCAGAATTAAGTGATGCCCTGTCAACTCCATTTTAATCCCTAACATTAACATGGAATCTTTTAAAGTTTATGTTTGTATTGCTATTCAATGTCTTTCAATGTTCAAAAGTTCCATATAGTACAGTTAGGAAGATTCACTTAAATCATAGCAGAAAACTGTTCTGCTTTTCTCATAATATTAATAAGTTCAGTTATCTATGTAGCCTTTGTTTCATGATACCAAGATTTATCAAAATTCTTATCAAATAGCACCATCTCTCTCTACACCACACATGATGAATTATAGATCAGCACATTAGGATAAAATTTTACATTTAAAAATTGCCTATGATGTTAAGTAAAATACTGCCTATTATCTCATTTTTTGCTAAAAAAATGACAACATGAAGCATACACTGTTTATTTACACTTTATATAATAAAGAACCACGGAGATTCCATGCTGTTTATTCACAATACTTTTTACTCATAGAATGAATTGAAAAAACTCTCTAAAGTATACATAAAGTCCATATTTCCTTACAGGAATTATGTAGATTAATATTCATGAATTATGGGAATTAAAATAAAGATATATTATTTCAGCATTTAATAGCTTGGATTCTACAAGGATCAATAAAGTCATCTATCATGAGTCAAACACATAAAAAAGGATGGTTACTTTTTATATATTCCATAAGCTGAAGTTCTCAGGTACCTAGGCCTATGTAAATCTGAAGAAATGTCAATTTGAATTGAATGTATTTTGTCTATTATTATTTGAGGAAGGAAAAAAGAAAGTAATTTTCTGGGAGGAAAAAATCTGCCATTCTGAATAAAACTAACAGACAATCTGTCTCAAAAAAGTTCACTTGCAATTTTAGTTTTGACACCTGATCTCAGAAACAGTGGGATGGGGATATGAAATCTTGATTAGGCAGCTATTTCATATTTACAGAACTTTACTGTGTGTTTTAAAATGTGCATTTCAAGAGTGGCAGATGCAATACTACATAAACACAAAAAGACAAATGATCACTTAACCTAGAAAGGGATTCTCTTAAAATTAAAAAAATAATTGCCAAGTAAACAAATATATTAAAATGCCAAACTATTGAGCAGTTAGGATCTATATTGTTCAAATGCTCTGAATTTTAAAAATAATGTTTATAAGTTATCTCAAAAATAATCACAGGAAGAATTAGTTCACTAAATAAATACGTCCCCCTGAGTCCTAGCCCCACGGACATGCTAACTAACAAACCTGTATAAACAGAAAATACCTGAGTTTTAAAGAATTGAAAGAATCTAAATGATAGAATGATTTGTGTTGTATACTGTGTATACCTATGAAGTAGAATTACTATTGCAATAGAAAGTAAATCCATATGTTTCAGTATACCTCTAACTTTCATTTTTACTTCTTTAGCAGCAAAACATAATGGCCTTTTTCCACCCAAAATAATTAAGCTGTATAATCAAAATTTATTATGAGTTAATATATTCAAGAAAATATTTACTTTAATATTTTAATGTATGGTGAGCCCTGAAATGTGTGAGCCCAAGGAAGACGAATAAAGCTCAAACATCTGCTAGGGAGAAATATCCCTGGAACAGCTCCTACCCAGAACACATCTGTTAGGAGAATTGAATACTTCCCGAGTTCTTGCACTTTATCAACTTTAGGCTTAAATTAATAGAATTTTGTGGAAGGAAAAACTCTAAAAATCCATCAGTTCAGATACAAATCTAGATTATATAAATTATTTCAGAAAGATAGTATCCCAATTCCCCTTTTACCATTTGTTTCTCCCCTCTTCCTGTTCTCTTGGCTCTATAACAAAGTTCCTGGGTCATAGTGGGTATTAAATCAATGTTGATAATTAAAAATTTAATGAATGATTGAGTGACAACACTTTACCAAACTACCTTCTAAAGATACCTTGAATTTTAATTCTAGACACTGATACTTTAAAAATGTTAAAATAAATCTGTATAAAACGAATTTCACTAATGAGATGTTGCCGTCTGTTACACAGTACAGTTTCAAAAGAGTGTTTTATTTCTAATATATTTCTGTTCTTCATGCTTCAGCAAAGATGACCTTTAGATGCTTCCAGAAAGTTTTAAATTAATGTGAAGCAAACATTCTGTTGAAATCTGAAACAAAACTAACTCTACCCTATATACCAACAGGAAGAGGAACAGAATGGCAGGTTTCTGTCTGGTAGATTAGTAGTGTACACCTCCACTCACCATTAAACAAACAAAAAAATATCCACTACAGAAGTAGGCTTTCTAAATCTCAAAATAACTCCCCCTCCTACCCCAAGAAACAACTTACTTTACTGCAGTAACCCATAGAGAAAAAAATAAATTATTTTTTTAAGTCAGTAAAATCACATCAGGACATTAAGGGTCAGGCTAAATATTATCAGGGATAAATGGGGACATAAAGTATTAAACAGTGTGCAGCTCAAAACAGTGTATATCTTCCTATCTGAATTTCTAACTTTTGTAGAACTTAAATAAAGTGCTAGGCCATCTGCTTTAGGGCCCTGAGGGGACGACAATACTTATGTGGAAAGGCTTCTCTAAGCTGGATCCAGTGATTGCAGGGAGGAGATAAGTAGCATTACCAAGTCCTAACATATGATTGATTGCACCATATGAGCTAGCACAGACTCTCATGATTGTAGCACACTTAATGCAAATGAAAAAAAATATTGTTTTCAAGTTTCTACATCAATTTGTATCATGATGCATAATGCCAACTTTGATTTATAGCCCTGCTCTAAAAAACTATTGGTGTAATAAGATTAAATAAATATTTGCAACTGATTTTAAAATTAGCAACAAAATAATAGCTACAAAAGCCAAACTAGACAGATTCATATTCTCGGGGTTCAGTAGAAATGGGCATTTTTGTGTTCTTTTTTTAAATTTTTAATTAATTAATTTATTTGTTCTAATTTGTTATACATGACAACAGAACACATTTCAGTTCACGGTACACAAATGGAGCACAATTTTTCATTTCTCTGGTTGTACACAAAGTAGAGTCACATGATTCGTGTCTTCTTACATGTACCTAGGGTAATGATGTCTATCTCATTCCACTGTTTTTCCTACCCCCATGACTCATCCTTTTCCCTCCCTCCATTTGCCCTATCCAAAATTCCTCTATTCCTCCCCTGCTCCACCCCTACCCAAACCCCCATTATGGATCAGCATCCACATATCAGAAAAAACATTTGGCCTTTGTTTTGGGGGGGGATTGTCTTACTTCCTTAGCATAATATTCTCCAATTCCATCCATCTACCTGAAGGCATTTGTGTGTTCTTGGGGGGCTTTTAAAGTATATTAGCTTCCT